AGCTGGCCCAGCTGGATATGGGGGAGCCCTGACATTGCTGCCCGGTGCCTTCCTACTGGGGGCACCTTAAGACAGACCATAGGTTTTTAGTTCTCTGTTTAATTGTGCTTTTCTTCATGAGTCACAAAGATTTAAAAAGCTGTGTTGCTGCAGATGTCAACGTCTCATCCTCCTTCCTGCCGCCCCTCAGGTTTTTCTTTTTCGCAGGGGATCGAGGTGGATGTGTTAACTGGTATGCATGTTTTCCTTTGTATTCGCATTTGCTGAAAAGAATATATTTTGAATAAATTATAAAATCCTCAGAGTTTTTTAACCACGCCTATACCTTTTTTTTCCCCACAAGGGAACTCTAGAAAACTATGGTTCATCATTTGATTTCAGATTTCAGAATCTTTGGTTTGTTTTTCCCAAAACATAAGATCAATTCTGACCTAAGGTATTGCCTCATTGCAGATGTGAAACCATTTCCCATGTGAAGACAAAGTTTGGTGTTCAAATAACTTTAAACTTTATGTTTTTCACTTGATGGCCTCTTGTTATTCTCCAAAACTGTGACAAAGTTTTTCCCCAAAGTGTTTCATCATGCAACTCTTTTAACCCAGAATAAGTAATGCTTTTAGAAAACATTTTGAAATATTGATTCCCTAATCTAACATATATAAGTTTAATAAGCCTTTCAACAAAAGCATGAATAATATATGTCGTATTATTTATTATAATAAACAAATAAACCCAGATTAATGTCCAATGATTTCTTATTCACATTTTTATGCTCTGAAGTCAGATATTTTAAGACTGTGCTCAAATAATCAAGAAGGAAATGAAACAGACATTACTGAGACATTTTCCGTTTTTGTGATTTAGTGCTCAATATAGTCCATGTGTTTTTTCCTGTGTTTCTGATATTTGCTAAAAATTTGTCTTTTTCTAGTCATTCACACTTCTTTTTCAATGTCATTATTTGTTTTTAAATTGATGGTTATTATGAATAAGGGAAGGGAGCAACTTCTCAAATTCTTGAATTACCTTATAAAAGAAAGATGGTAGGTAAGTTTGCAACATCTAAGTTACCAACCTTAGCTTCACAATATAAAGCCATATATTTTTTATTGTACAACCCTTAATTCTTCATACACCAGAAACATTTCAGTGGTCTCTATACAAACATATATACATATATACACCCTGATTAAATAAAATGAATTTTTGTGTCAAAGTGTACATAAAATAGATCTGTACAATTTTCATAAACAAACACATTTCCTGAACACAGAATCTTTTGAAAGAAAATATTTCAAATTTTCCAAAAATAATTTACCCCCTGCATCGATCTAGTACAGAAATTAATGAGGGTTGTGCCTATTACCATCTGCTTTATAGACACCCTGGTGATCCAGCTATAAAGAAAAATAAATACACTTTTCCACTATAAAACAATATTTTTAAAATGCACATTAAGAAATATTTTTCTTCTTATTCTCTTTCCCAACAACAAATAGCTTTGATATTAAAACAGAAAAAAAGGGAAATGAATAAATATCATAGCAAATGCCTTCGGGTTCTATGAGATCTCAGTGCTAAAAATCAAACTTAGATAATTAATCTTTATTTATTATAATAATTTTTCTTTTGTCATCAGATTCATTGAAATTGTAAATCACATGTATGGGCTACTTGCAAAATTACATATAATATTAAATACATACTTGTGCTGGTTTTCATTAAGCAGTAAAAATTCATGCTTAAAAGTATAGCCAACAGCTAAAAAAGAAAAGATAAGAAACAGAAACTGGAAGCAAATCTTTGTGTTTCCTTCCTCTGCATGAGGACAAGTCAGAAGGTAATGAAAATAAGAGGCAGATTTTTCTTAACTAGGTCATTAAGAAAACATGAAAAACAAATTTTTTTAAAAGTAATTTTCCATGATATGACTATCTCAATATTTATTTTAGTGTTTCTTACATATAAACTTATTGATAATCTATTTTGGCTAAAGCAGTGTGTTGGATGTTCAGAGGCATCTAAGATGATCGTTATTAATTTTCTTGTTTAAAGAAGTTTCAGCTTTTTTTTTTACAAAAAATTTTCCAGAGAGATGATTGAGCCCTCTCTCTGCACTTTTGACTCTGAGCTTAGTAAATGACACTAGCTTATGCCACAGCAATTCTGTGCCTCATTATCTAGTACGAGCCTCAGTCAAGGGAACACTGAGACATTGGTAGGAGATAACGAAGCTGATGGGATATAATGAAGGGAGAATGAGAATCAGACTCTTGTGCTTCTGATCCCGATGACCTACATTGTTGAAGTGGAACCTCCGGGCCTCACGACGAAACTCTTTCCCCTCAGCATCCGCTGTCCTGTGTGCTCACTCCTGAGCCAGTCCGGACACCCCCAGCCTGCCCTGTCTCGGTCCATCCTCACCTTTTGCACATCATGGGCCCTTTTTTGAAATCCACCATCAAACCAACGTCTTCATGAAGTATTTCCCAATTTTTCCAATCCGTTAGGTTTTCTCTCTCTCTGGTGAATTTCTAAAGCATGTGATGCATTCTGTCTTATGATATCTGTACTGTTAGGGATTGTATTTTAGTTGTTTGTGTGCACAAAGGAAAAAGACAGCACTTCACTCATCTTTATGTTTCCTTTGATGAGGATTCCATCTTGCTGAATTTCTAGACACATGTCTCTAGCTTTTAAAGACAGTCCACACATAGGTATCAACAGTGGGTGGTTAGATCACTGAGCAAAGCAACAGGGGCTCCACAGTGGTACTGGAGGGAAGTGTCTGTTGTGTGGACATAAATAATAAACACCACAGTGATTAGTGCCGTCTTGCCCTGGCTGTGTTACTCATCCTTTTATATCATCCATTCTACTGTGTAATGGGTTTTCTGGATCAGTGTGATTCCTGAAAGAAAATAGACTTTTGACATCAATTGTACAACTAATGAAATCAAAGATCATCAGCTGGGTCAGAATTTGGAAGAGAGGTGGATTAAACATATAAATAACTCAGCCTTTAATTTACCCTTAATCAATATATTCCATTGATCTCAGTTCCTGTCCATCTTTTCTTGATGCACACAATGTACAGGACGAGGTCTTAGCATTCGCCATACAATGATATCACTGGACTGGGAGCAGATTGCCTTCATTCAGATCTTGACAGTTAGATGTTTTGTGAAGTTCAGAAACTGACCTGGCCTCTTTCTCTTAAGTGTGTGTGTGTGTGTATGTGTGTGTGTTCATATGTGTGTGTATTAATCTATAAAACCAATAAAAACATGGATCCGTTTATACAAAGTCCCCAGCACAGAATAATCTACAGAGACAGGAATCACATAAACAGCCATTTGAAGTTTGTTGTGATGATGAGTTGGGGTGAGGGATAAAGGGCTCATGGTCTCTTTGTAAAGTAAAAAAATATTCAAAATTGACTGGGATGGTAGTGCACCGATATGCAAAAATACGCAAATCAAATTTGGCTTGTCCACTTTACAGGGCAAACTGTAGAGTATGTTTATTTTATCTCAGTACAGTTGCTAAAAATTTTGTTTATTGTGTCCTTTATTTTTTTTATTTTTTTAAAGATTTATTTATTTTTATACAAGAGCTGGGGTACAGGCCAGAGGCGTGGGAGGGTGAGAGGATTCACCAGAGACAGAGTGGGGAGCAGAACAGACAGACTGACTGAAATTCACTGCTGAGGGGAGCAGCAGGCGAGGCAGGAGAGGTCTGCAGTGGAATTGAACCCGTGCTGCAGAGGCTGTGGATAGCTTCACAATGCTGTGCTCAACCCGCTCTGCCACTGGGGAGGCACTATTGTGTCTCTTAAATTACTTTTTAAAACAGGAACAGCCTTTGTTCTTGACAAAGACTGCATTGTCCCTGCTGCCCTTCATCTGTGTCTCTCAGGCGTCCGATTGTGCTATGAATCTCTCTTGGATCACCTGTGTACACTAGACTTGTAAATCTCTCCATTCACTTTCTAGAATGGTCTCCAATCTCTTCTGTCTCCAATCAAGTATGTTTTCTCATTAACTTGCCAGGTGTGCATTCATCTCATCCGCGGGCCTGACCATGTTATTAAACACCTAAATCCACAGCTAAAACTTGAAGAGTCTAAAAGAAAGACCTGGAGTCTCCTTCCCACGCAGGGCAGCCAGGACACAGGGCACTTCCTATATCAGGTGTGGTGCCAAGTGTCATCTCTACACATCACACAGAGATTCCATGTCCACTTACTCCTGTTAATAATCTTAAGCATTACTTGAATAACATATTAATACTTTCCAGGCATTATGGAGCATAAAAATATATTCTCAAATACCGTTTGATATTTTTCAAATTATTTGACACTGGCATTGCTACTAGTAATATGTTTAAATCAATTAAGAAAACATCCCATGTTGAGAAAGGAAGAAAGAAGCAGAGATAGGATTTTTTGAGGGTTGTGAAAATTGTCCGCATGACACTGGAATGATCGCTGAGTCATCTCACACATTTGTCCAAACCCGTAGAGTGGACAGCACCCCGTGGGAAGCCTGGTGTGCACTATACACTTTGGATGATGAGCATGTGTCCGTGTCGGTTCTTCAATCGTAACAAATGCAGTGCTTTTGGGAAGGTGTTGATAATGGGGTGGGGGTCCCTGCTTGGGTGAGGGCAGGAGACACAAGGGAAATTTTTGTACTTCCTGCTCGGTTTTGCTGTAAACCCAAAACTATTTTAAAAAGTTATTATTATTATTATTTAAATAATGAGCCCATTTATATCTCAATGAAACTTCTTTATAGACATGGAAAAAGAAAGAAAACATTCTGCTCTGGGAATTCTGATATATTTTTTAAGTTTCTAAAAGTTACTAAGTAAATGCTTCCTTGAAAAGCGACATAATGTAAATTCTTTTTGGTAACTCAAGAAAATGATCATGAATATATGATATTTTAGTTGGTTGGTGTAGTAAATATCATTGCATTGATATTTTCCTTCAAATTTATTCATGGGTTTTTCTTTTCATTCATTTATTCACTTTTTCAAGCAGTCTACAAATAGATATTTTACTCTGCTGGAAACACTCATATATGTGGCAAGATCGTGACTCCTGAGTTTGAGGCATGACTAATTACTTAAAGCTACATGGTAAAAGGAAAAATAGAATTTTGTGCACAGTGAAAGGAGGAAGTGGCCAATGGAGGTGATTTGTACATGGGTAAGTTAGTTTTGCATAATCCCGCATGTATTTCCTCAGGACCATCTCTGCAGACAGTGTTAGGTTCCAGCTTTACAAACACAGATGATATGATCCTCTGATGATTTCAGTTTTCCCCGGAAACACGTCCATGCCAAAGTGCTAATGTAACAATAGGAGTTTAAGGAGGTCAGAGGCAAGTCCAAGAAGGAATACATTTGTCCACTGTGGACTTCACAGATATCTTCTTGATGGCAGAATTTTTCTTTTTATGGATCTTGGAAACTGAGTTTTTCACTGGCCGTCATGGCTGTTTAGAAGCACACAGCTGCAAGAAGGGAGAGCAGACATGAATAAGGTCCGCCCTAAATGTATTTAGAGGTCTTTTCACCTAGCATGACCAGAACACATGGTGAACATCCGAGTCACAAATGAAACATTAAAACTTTCACAAGGAACAAAAATAGAGCATTTAAGATAGAATTTCCCCCCTTAATCCAGCAAAAACTAGAGAGTTTTTAAATGTTTTCGAGAATTGTTATGGTGCGATTCATTTTTATTTGATTGCTGATGTTTACATAAAATTAGAGAGAATGGATTGAATTTATGGTTGTCCAGATAAAATATTCAGAAGTTCTGGATTAGTACACTTATATGAGGAATAAAATGGGAACAATTTTAACAAGTTTTTAAAAAAATATAATAATGCAAGATGGTGACTAATTGCATTTGGGAATAAAATACGTGTTTCTGATTTACCTCACTACATTGAATTAGAAATTAATTTGAGCAGTCTTGTATTAAATGTCAGGTAGTATGTGAAATTCTTTGGTTTAAAAAATGGGTGAAATATTTTCTCATTCAAGTGTCATGGAGACAGACATGTGAACTAACTTTGGAAAAATCTAAAGTCTACATGCTCTTATAATCTGTGTTTTAGATGTGTGGGTCACATCAATGCAGAAATCTTTCAAGATGATGACAGGTATTTTTTATGGGTCTTCAGTAAATAAATTTGATTGGTATGCTAGGTTAGATGAACATAATATATTAGTGAGAAATATACCCCGGGGACTCAAAAGGATATGAGTTTCAAGGAGGTTGGGTGTGTATTGATCTGGTGCAGCTCCTGTCAATGTACCATCCTGATCTTGAGTTGTTCTTGGTGGAAATAGGTTATGGGGTGTCTTCTACTTCCTTATCTAGGAGTTATGGCTGCTAAGGGCCTGCTCTGCATATAGTTTTGCAGATAGTCAATAACAATATTTATTCTAACATAATGTATGAAAATGACAGATTTGAAATACATGAAATGTGATTTTTTTTAACAAATCTTGGTTGATTTTCCAACATTTCTTCTAAAAGGGAAAATTCAAGAAATATATTTTGAATTTCCAAAGGATCCCAAGTAGCAAAAACACTCCTGAGACAAGACAAAAAAAAAAGGAGATATCAGATGCCCCAACTTCAAACCATGCTACAAAGGGATTGTACTTAAAATTGGTATCAAATTAAACACAGACACACAGATCAGAGAAACAAAGTCGAATACCCAGGAATAGAAACACTCACGTCAGCACAACTAATTCACAACATTGGCACAAGAACATACACAGGAGAAAGGAAAGTCTGTTCAGTAAATGGTACTGGGAATTCCCGACAGCCGCATGCAAAAGAATGAAACTGGACCACTATCTCGTACCTTCCCAATGCAATAAACATATTAAAAAATGAATTAAAGGCTTAGATGTAAGACCTGGAGCCAGGAAACACATAGAGGAAAGCAGAGGTGATGTGCTCCTTGACAAGTATAAATGCATTTTGACCACTGAAAAAGGTCTTACCTATGTGGTTTCCTCCTCTATTATTTGTGATTTGAAATCAACTGCAGAAAATGCAGCTACACAGTAACTGAACTGACATCTTCTGTGATGAGCTCAGACTCCATGTCTTCCTCTAGCCTCCAGTAGGATGCCATCACCTGTGGCTCAGCCCTGCAAGTTGCTGAGGGCCTGATCCCTCGCCCTGGAATCCTGCTGCTGTTGCTAACTACATATATCACAGAGACATGTTTGGGGGGGAACGTGTTTCTCCAAACCAGGAGACATCATCTAAAAGTAAATGTCAGGGGCCTCCCTTGTGGTGCAGGTGGTTGAGTGCAGCGCTGTGAAGCTGTCCGCAGCTTCTGCAGCGCCAGTTTGATCCCAGCCAGCCTCGGAGCAACCCACAAGGCTAGCAGACCTCTCCTGTCTCACCTGCTGCTCCCTCAGCAGTGTACTTCGGTCAATCTGCCTGTTCTGCTCCCCACTCTGTCTCTGGTGAATCCTCTCACCCCCCACACCTCTGGCCTGTACCCCATTCTTGTATAAAAATGAATAAATCTAAAAAAAAAAAAAAGCAAATGTCAGTATCCACTCTTAAGAACACAAAGATGTTATGTGAGCTTGGGAATCACATGTTGCTCTAAGAATGTTAAATCCAGGAATTCATTACCAGGCAAGAGTCAGGAAAGCACCGCAACTTCCATTGTTGAGATGTCTTTGTGAGTGAAAAGCTTTTCCTAAATTGGATTGTGATAAGAAAGGCCCAGAGAATGTCCATCTTCTCAGCATCCCAGGGACACATCTCTCATCTTCCAGGTGCCCGCTCATCTTATGTAGCGCCCCTTCTGCTGAATCTGACAAGACACAATAAACAGTTACTAGAAAAGTGATCATATTGGGTCAAGACAGGTCATTTTTCATTTGAAAAGAATGAACTGATAATTTTGAAATCTTAATGAATTTTCAAAGGACTCTAATGTTGCATTTGTGTTCACAGATAATTAGAAATTATCCATCCAAAATAACAAGTTAAATAATTTCTAAATGGCTTTCAAAATATGATTTTATTTTATCCATCTGTCCATCAGTATTTCTACATGGTTACCTAGTTGCCATCACCATGGTAACTAGAGCCTCTAGACTGCATATGACAACTTCCAGCTTCTATTCAACTTTCATCCTCGCTGCTTTATGTCCGCTGACTTAGAGATAGTTGGGTATTTCAAATAAATGCTCCCTAGACCTTCTGTTTGGATCCATAACAGGAAAATGTTAACAATCTACGCTGTGATGCAAAAGGAATCTTAGAGTTTGATTGAGCCACACAAATAAGTTTGACTAAGCCAGACGTCTTGCTTCTAAAATGGTGTCAAGGTTTGAAAATTGTACCTTCAGTAACTTGTCATTCCCTTCCCTTTCACCATTCTGGAAATGGAGGGGCAGTTGACATTTTATCCAAAGTATGCTCAAAGGACAGGGAAGCATGTTCTACTTCTCAGAAAAGAATCAATAGTTTTCTTTTAGACATCAAGGATTCTGTTATAGAGAAACCTAATATCAGCACTTACAGGTCTCTGGATGTGTCCTCTATATTCTTGGAAAAGAGGCCTATGGCATCGCCCTTTTTGATATCAAGCATAAATATACACAAAATGCAATATCAAAGAGATATGCAACATCTCTGAGAGGAAAAAGCAACAGAAAAGCAAACTTGTTTTATCTTGCCAGGAAGGTGGGGAACTTCCCTCAGAGATTATCATTAGCTGATCTAAAACATGAACAGCTTAGTCCCCGGCAGAGCAGAATGATCCATGGAAATACCTAACAAGGCAGGTCCAAGGAGATGTCGCCACGCCCAGCCACAAAGGTGAGGAGTCGAAAAATAGCCATCATGTGAGTGTTGTCATCTTTTATGTACGAAGAATTAAAAAAAAAAAAAACATGTCTTTCAATCCTATCAATATGAAATATTTACTAATTTTCATTGTCTTTAGTCTATCTTCCTTGGAACAATCTAATATAACTTGACATTTTTTGATAGCATAGATATCAGGAATGAATTCATTGGATTCATAGAAACACCCAGTTTCATTTCTATCTGCAAATTCTTACACATATTCTCTGGTTCTAGAAAACAGTCTCTACAGCAGTTTGACTTATATCTGCATCACGGATAAGGATCACTTCTGGGCACAGAAATTTTAGCAGAATGTTAACACTGGATATGGGTAAATCCAACAAGGGAAATAAAATGCTGAGCACCAACCAATCACTGGGTTTTCTCTCTCTTTTTTTAATCATTCATAATGTTCTTCAGGCTTGTGCAAACTACAAGCTGAAAAAAAGGGACAAGAACCTTTGTATCAAGTTGATCAAACATCGAATGCCTGTACTTCATGTCACTGAGCTCAGGGCCTGGAAACCCACCCCCCTGCACCCCACTCTGTGGTTCCCCAGCTCCAGCTCTGCCAACATCACCACCTTCTAATTCTTATTCCGAGAACCCAGGGACACGTCTATTTGTTTATTATTAATACCATGTTCTCTTTCTCCTGGTGTCTGCTTGTTTATGTGAGAATTATTTAACTAGATAGGAAACAGAAACTCCCTCAGGAGATAACTCTTCTCTCTTCTGTGGTTAATAGAATTTCTACTAGGGTAGCTTCTCTTCTCTGTAGATAATAGAATTTCTATCAAGACAAGCTACAAATGATAGAGAAGACATATGGGACTGGGCTATTCCCCTGGTTTTATCTCCACATGGAAAACTATTTTATATATGTCTGGCACCACTGGTGCATGATTCAGTGTGAGTTTAGTCAGGAAACTTTCTCAGATGGACTAGTTTTGCAACTTGACGAAGGCACCCTCTCTGAAGTTGGGTTGCTACCATCCCAAAGAGCATGGCCTCTACTTTGATGATCAGATTTGAAAGCGATGGCTCCCAGGTCCTTGAGAAAGAGAGAGAGAGTTCTGGGGTATGAAACTGTCAAGAGGCTTTTAAGAAGATTTACATTTCAAAGAAGCAGAGAAATGATTCATAACAACACATTTTCTAAAGTAAATGCACTAAGAAAGGGAGAGGATGGACCTGTGGGGTTAGGGCAGGCGATTCATGAAGGGCCAGTGAACAGGGGTCAGGAGTTAAGACACCTGTGAAGCTGAGTCAAGTTGGGGGAATGTTTAGGCTGTGTCTGCCAACTGAAGAATGGAAATTGTCTTCCTTTCAAATTCCAAGCATAAATCTTGCCTATTCCAGCCTTTCCAGACACCATAAACAGGTCTTTGTTACTCATTGATCGAGATATGCCTTATGATCCAAGGTATTGGTGCATTTTGCCCGGATGAACTGCAGCCCCATCTTGATGAGGTAAGGTCCTCAGAGTTTCTGTAACCATTGCTCCAAGGCACCTCAAATGATATTAACTCAGCATCCCAGGTGTGTACAACACCTGGGATAGGGCTTGTACAGGGTGTACAGTGACCCACGGATGAGTTTTAGGAAAAGGGATGTTGCAAATATTCTTAACACTATAGAATCATCATTCTGACAGCTAAATGTGAAAATTAATCTAATGGAAACCAATTCTAGAGACATGAAGCAACCGTTACAAGATTTTTACACTAAATGAAGGCAAGAAGTTAAAACTTTGCCATGGAGACGTTCACGTTTCTCTTTCCTAAGAAAGCACCAAATGGTTAAAATGGAGGCCCGACAAAGATGACCATCATTTTTAATTTGTTGCTCTCCTAAATATTCAAGGATGTTCTCTGTCCCCTTCCCGTCATTAATTCCCCTTTCTTTCTCAACAATTCTGTCCAAAGGCACTTGGTGGGACAGAATGCTGTGGAATGTGCATCCTCTTTTATTACATGGGAGGGAGGGCTCCAAGGCCCATTACGTCCGAGGTCAGCAGTGTTGCACTAACCTTAACTAATTTTCTCTTCAGCTATTGAGTGAGCGGTGCTGAGACCATAAATAAAAATTGAGGATTTGTCTACTTCACCTGCATTTCCATGAGTGTCTGTTTCATGGCTATTAAAGTTTAAAGCTCTTTTATTAGATGCACAAACACTTAGGTTGTCATGTCGTGTTGATGAGATGGCGGCTTTATCATCAGGGAGCGGCTGTCGTTATCCCCAGTAATGCTCTTTGCTCTGAAATACATTTCGTCTAATATCACTCTGGCCACTCTAGCCTGCTTTTAAAGAGGGCTGGCTTGCTGGATCTTTCCCCGTTCTTTACTCTTGTCTTACATGTCTCTTTCCATTTTAAAGTCGAGTTTAAAGTGAATTTCTTAGAAGTGGTGTGTTGTATCAGGTTAAGTTAACGGGTTGCTTTTCATCGACTCTGACAATCTTTGTCTTTTTAATCAGGGTGGTTTTAATCATATTCATATTTAACGTGGTGTTCTATATTGTTGCATTTCAATCGACCATTTTCGCTTTTTTTCTGTATGCTCCAACTGTTCTTTATGACTATCGCTATGCTTAGAAATTATTCTTTTTTTAAAGATTTATTAGTTTATGCATACAAGACTCGGGGTACAGGACAGAGGTGTAGGGGTGCGAGGTTTCACCAGAGACAGAGTGGGGAGCAGAACAGGCAAATCTACTGAAACACACTGCTGAGGGGAGCAGCGGGCGAGACAGGAGAGGTCTGCTGTGCCATGTGGGTAGCTCCCTGGCCGGCTGGGCATCGAACCTGTGTTGCAGAGGCTGCGATAGCTTCATAGTGCTGTGCTTAACCCCTTGCGCCACCAGGGAGGCCCTGCCTAAAAATTATTCTTTGTGAGTCTACATTATTGCCATTTTTGGTTTATGTTGTCTACTTTTCATTAATCTGTCCATCCATCCATCCATCCACCCTTCCCCTTCTCCCTCCTTTCTGCTCTCCCTCCCTCCACATACAGCTCTGTGCGTGTGTCTGTGCCCAGCCGCTTGCCTGTGTGTTAACACTAGTGATGTTTTTTTGGTGTAGTTTTATTAACGATGTCCTTTGAGTTTGCTGAGTTTCTGGGAAGTGCATGTTTTGCTTTCAACTGATCGGGAAACATCTCAAGTGAAATATAGCACTGGACACTCATCCTGCCCTCCCACGTCGCCTCTCAGGGGCTGCAGTGACGTGCTGTCAGTGTGCTCATCCCCGATTCTGTTTGCTCCTCTTGAGGATTTCATTGTCTCTTGTTCATATTGGATCGTTCTTTCTGACTTCAAAACTTCTCTTTCATTACATCTAATCATCTCTTCATCACATGCATCCTGTTTTTCATCTGATTAAGAGCTTTGTGTGTGTTGGCTCAAAACTACGTATAAACACAAATACACAACACACTCTGAGGAAATGATGTAGTCAAAGTTCTTCAGAAAAACAACAACAACAGGATTGTGTGTGCACACACGTGTTTGTAAAATACAAAGGGATTATTATAATAATTGACTCATCAGCTATGGCAGCAGGCGCGTCCAAAGGCCCACAAGGCCAGACAGCGAGGTGGACGCACAGCAGCACTGGCGGCGTTGTTCTAGCCTGAGCGCCAAGGCCTGAGGACCAGGAGAGGGGCTGTGGTGTGTTACTGTGAAGGCTGATGCGTCAAGACCTAGAAAGTCAGTGTTTCACTGTGAGTGAAAAGGCAGGAAAAGAACCAAAAGACCAGTTCAGAGGACTCAGGTAGGAGGAGTTCTCTCTTGTTAAGGGGCGTTTTGTCTGTTAGGACCTTTGACTGATCGGAGAAGACCCCCCACACTAGAGCGGAAAATCTGTTTTACACAATATGCTCAATCAAATGTGAACTCAGCTCAAATCACCCTCACAGGCACACTCGGAATAGCATTTGACCAACTATCTAGGCTCCCTGTGACCCAGTCAAGTTGCCGCATAAATGCACCATCACTGTCGTGTTGTCTTCCTTTTACAACCCAAGAAACTGAGGGCCAGGGAGGTAAATTATTGGCATTAACAGTTGAGTCAGGACTTAAACTGCACCAGCGTGACCTCAGTGTGCACGCTTTTAGTTGATGCTGCCAAACTCCTGCAGAATTTCCTGTTGCTTTGGGAACAAACCTTTGAAGACATGTTTCTTAAGAAGAAAGGAATTGGGAATTTGAATTGCAGTGATTATCATGAACAGAGTCCTGATTTATTTTTAAGTACGTGGATGTATAGAAAAATTAAACTCTTATCTTGAAACTGATATAAAATCCTTAAGAAATAGTTCCCACTTAGACAGGCATTAGGGAAACTTGT